CAGCTGATTGTCTTTGTTTGGTTGTTTTTGTTTGTTTTTCTCTGTCTTGGTTTTCCTTTTGTGTTTGGTGGTTGATTGGTGGGTGCTGGTGTTTGGGTTGGGGATGAGTAGGGAAGGAAGGGAGGTGCGAGGCACAGGGAAGGCAGGTGCTCAGCAGGGCGATGGGAAGGAAAACAAAGAGGATGTAAATTGGTACTGGACGTGATGGATGTTGTAGGAGAGGGCAGAAGGGGAGAGCAGTAAAAGGAGGGAAGCAGACAAGGGAAAGGTCGAGTTGAGCTTCCACCAGAGGCAGTCGCTCAGAGTCAGAGTGAGTTGCAAGAAGAAAGACGGAAAGAGCAAGGAGGCCTGGGACGGATTGGCTTTTATACCTGTGGTCTCCTCGCTGAACAGCTAGCAGGTCTCAAGCGAGATGCGGTCGATATTCGTCATTCACCGTCATTGACTGTGAACGGTCAAAGGCTACAGAGACTCTATACAAGGACTTTGCTGGAAATTGCTACCACTACAGACAAAGATGAGTTAAGGCTGAGTTTGGTTCTGGTTCAGCAAGATAATGGGCTTTGTTTGCTGGCAACAGGAGAGATACAGTTTTGCTTCCGTGGTTGATGGGCCGGGATGACTCTTTTACTGGCGAGACTCGTCTATGTCGTTCCTGTAACAGTTATGACAGACCGTCATCATTTGCAATTAGCTCGACAACTATGTTCTATGACTGCTACAGCTTGTCGAATGCGAACTATCAGATACTGGGGCCTAGGGTTCGGGATCAGTACGATATACTGCAACGTAGATCTTTTGAAAAGCTCGGTGGAATGTTATGACCACAATCAGTCGAGGATATTTCGAGACACTAGGAAACGGAACCGACTAGTTCTTGTTTTTACCAGACATTTTTCACTGCTGGAGACAAAGGAAGCTTCGAACAAAGGGCCTAGACGAACTGGTCATCGAGTTGAGTCGATAGTCCATTGTTTCAAAATCTTTGTAAAGAACAGAAATAAATCTCCATTGAGAGCGATGAACAAACAAGAAACTTCTGGACAGCTTTCAGAGGACCATTCTCCACGGCCTTATGGCTCGAATAGCGAACTTTCACTGACGACGCGCAAAACAACTCGCTAGCTCTACCAACGGCTGAACGCAGAAATGGTTATGCAGTTGTAAGTGACCTACTATGAGCCACCATATAGAGAACAGATAAAATTGCATAGATTTAAGATTTTCTTGCTTCCCAGGAGCCCAAGAAAGTAACCAATGACTATCACTAGTGCACGAAAACGAGAGAAGTAACAAGTAACAGAAAATAATATCCTGGCCTGGTCGTCAAGAGTTATCTATCAGACACTATTCGTCAGTTTGACGTCCATCTCTATGTGGTGATTGACTGCCCGATCCTGGCAGTCCCGGGCATAAGGCTACGCATGCTGGTCCAAAGATGAGAAGGTTAGAATCATTCTTAAATGTCGAGTGAAAACGGAAGCAGCTTCTGTGAGACTTGAAGGATCTGCTTTATGCACATGGCGCGACCTTCCATGGGAGAACTACCTATTCTCCTGTTCTCTCGACAAGATCACCTGAAGTACTGCTGCACTATCTGGAATGATCAAAGCCCATCCAGATGGCTTGAAGTATCTGCTGCGCCTGATCATGCACTACACGCATGGCAGCAGGCGTAAAACAGAGAGCCGTTCCCCAAAGTCAAATGAACTGGCATATGGCATTTACTAGCTTAGTACAATGCAGACGGAAGAGTAGGACCCGCCTGTCACAAGCAGGCCAACCTACTCAAGAAACCATGAGACCCTGAGAGTTTTGGTTGGTTCTCAAAAGCCAGTGTCGACATGGATTCGAAGTTTAATCAGACATGAACTTGATTGAGCTGTGGATGCCTGTTACTTTATCCTTCTTGGGGAGTCGGCCAACTAATCAAGGACATGAGCCTGTGAATGTATAGCACGGACCAAGCTCTTGATATGACCGGTATCAAAACTGGATCAAGCCCTCATATTCAGGATTCGCGGGACTCTTAACTGATCTGTAAACATTAATCCAGATGGGAGTCCAGATTGACCGCTTTGCAAAAATATAGAAATGGCGGTCAACTGTGTCAGCCAATGGCTGCTACAAGGAGGGGCAGATGACCCGTTGAGCAACCGCGGATGGAGGAAGTCCATGCGCAGGTGTGGGCGTAGTGGAGCAAGTCAGGTGGAGACTAGCGGCATTCTGGCCGAGAAAACTGTCTCGTATCAGGATTGTCCAAGGCAAGTGACAGGCTCAGCTTGTCCCTTGCTTTTGCAGTGTACCTCCCTTGGGGTATTTTCTATCCTTGTACCAGAGGTAATCTATACTCTCAAGTTGCAACTTGCGAATGACGTAGTCTCCAGGGTCAACATCCTCCGATGCTGACACTGCATGAAAGAATCTCCCATGTTTCTTTTGGTTCCTGAAAAGAGCCATGCAGGGGGTCAGGGACAAGGGATCTAGACTCACCTTAGAGGAGACGGGTGGATTCCGCTTTCTTCTACTCCGTTGTGTCCATCCATACTCTGTATGTAATGATGGTAATGGCAAACGGACGAACCCCGCATCTCTTTGCTTTTGAGACTTCCTTTTTGGAGTCTTTCTGACCTGTTCTCGGGCGACTGCGGGGGCTTTTACCTATTCAAGTCCTTATGGTCATTAGGGCGTCAACGCTGGCGACAATCGTTTCTGCATTCATTTGTCGATGAATGATATCAACTAAAATGGGTCCTCTGTTGCCGCTATGGAGATGAACTAGATACTCACACCACGATGATCGCCCTCCGTTGGCAACTTGGCCACCGTTGGGCGCCTACAGTCGGTGAAGAGAATTCTTTCCTAGTATCCTTCAAGTATTTAGTTTCCAGTACCGACTCACTTGCGAAAGAAAAAGGATGAGGTTTCGTCTGGGAATCCCTCCCTAACCTCTTGACACAAATCTTTCGCTGGTTTCAGGTTTCTATTTTCATCCTTAGTCTCATCATTACTCTCTCCTTTCTGCAACATAACATTCTTTATTGTCTTCCTGACCAACGGACTGATCATTCATCATGAGTCTCTTTCAATGATCATCCCGTGGTTTGCCCCTCTCTTCTTTGATCTTCCCCTCCTTGGACCCTAATCTTATCCTACCGATTGGCTGCGTGATGCAAAAGAAGGGTATTTGACTCATTCATATAACCTTGGGATCAACACATTCGTCAGCGGCACTGAGACTTGTCTTCAAGTCGATGGTCTTTTGATTCTTCGCCTCTGACTGGTGCCTTTTGACGGCAAAGCACATGCGAATCTTTGCCGTCCCATTTACCTTTGCTCTTCCCACCTGATGTTTAAGGCAGCGACTAGGAGTATGGCCGCCTCGTTCACATGCCATGGAGCTATACTGCCCAGCGGCAATCCCCATATGAGCCACTCTCATCACGGAAGCCACTCGATCCCTGTAGATGAAGCTGCCCTCGCTTCTGCCATCACAACTACAACTTCGACTTCCACAATAAGTCCTTCTACTACCTTCAGTCTCACTCCTGTCTATGATCAACCTGCTTCGTATCTGACTGTCTCAACTGTGCCATCCCTCAATATCACTACAAGAGCTATCTCGCCCTGCTTAAGCGACATTTCAGAGGCCAAGACCTTCTACAGCACCGTAGAGGTCACTGAGATTCCTGTGGATGCTTGCGATTCGCCTACAGCGTTGGACTTGACGTCGAATGATTGCTTGGACCAGATGGAAACTAGCTTGACACATGTAGTCAGGAAACCAGATACGGCGGCGGCGACGCCTTCAACCCCTACTTCGGGTGGGCATCGCTTGCCAAAAAGGAAACGAACAGTGTCGCCGCCGTCCTCCACAAAATCTCCCGACCATCATCGCTCTACGTCTCGAAGCACTCGCCGGTCCGCACCTACAAGCCGCCGCAGTTCTTTGCATTCGCACCGCCGTGCAGCAACCACTACATCGCTTACACCGTCCATCGTTGATCGAAAGGATCCAGTGGCAAAGCGTGAAGACCTTTTGGCCCTCCATCGCGAGTCCTGTCAACTATTCCAGGACAACGAATTACACCAATCCTGCTTGCAGGAAAGACGATCTGCCCCGGCAACCCTTCCTTATTTGACATCTTGCGCACATCGAGCATCTTCTGAATTCAGTTCACCGCCAGCTTCACCAATTGTCCACACCCGTTTCTCCCCTGCAGCTCGGGAACCAGGGCTGGACACCGGCCTGAGCCCCGATCAGCCGACTTATGTACCCACCGGCGATTCAAGAGCCGCCGGCGCTTCAAAACAGGTGAGGCCAACGGTAATCGACTGGACATCGCCATCTACTCGCAGGCGAGAATATGAGAAAATCGATCGAGCCAGCACCGGTGTCCGGGGATTCTGGCGACGAGTGGCACCCCGGTGGTGCCAATTCGGGGACAATCGCATGCCGTTCTTCGAAGAAGGGAAGAACGGTAAAGGCAACTATGAGGGCAGTGTCCGGAGGTTTCGAATGGACTTGCCTGACGAGCCAGCTGATGAGACGGGCAAGTCGAGGTCCCGTAGAGGCCTGAAGTTCAAGAAGAAGTTGATCGTTCATGGATTTGCCCCTCGGCGGAGTACGTGTTAGTCTCTGAGTTGCATCTCGAGCTTTTTCATGTTGCGTCTTGTTTAGCGTGCTGCTTGTCGCGGGCGATGTTGGTGCAGCAATGATACCACGATGATTACACTGCCGACCTGCCTGGTTTCGTGTTTCTGAAGGCTTTTTCTCGACCCAGTTGATACGGGTGTAGACTTGAGATTGTGATACCCTGCCATCATGGCCTTTTTTCTTTGTCTTAGTCTTAGCATATCAAAACATATTATATATGAAAATGAGTTTAATGAATGAGTACTTTTCTAGATCTCCAGTAATGTACGTAAAACACCCAACGCCATGCAAATGCAATATATGGGTATCGATAGAAGCATACAACCATCAGGCCCAGCAGCACCTACAACAGATCAAAATCATCCAGGTTATCCCTGTAGCGCATGATATTGCGCTTGATCTTGCTGCTATCCACCCAGGTGATATGATCCTCCATATTGCGCGTAACCAGATAAGCCGGGTCCGTGACGATCTCCGGCCCACAGCGCACATGTCCCTGCTCGATATACGTGACAGCCTACCCAGTCAGTACCTGCTTTGTTTTTCGGTCAGAAAGGAGGGAAAAAAAAAAACATACAGCCTTGATCGTCTCCACCATCCCCGTCCGCACCATCACAACCGCCAACCTCCTCCTGCAAAACGCCGAAACCGTCACCTCGCGCTCCACCCGTGACAACCCCGCCCCTTGCTCGCGCGACTGCTTCAGCAGCCCCATCCGCCACAGCTTATCCAGAACCTCGGACTCGATCTTCTTGCGCAGCGGGTCCGAGTCCGGGTCTAGCTGGGAGAGCTTGTGGGCGAGTTGGCGGAGGGAGCCGGCCAGTGCGTTGTAGGACTTGTAGTCTGTGTCGTTTTGGAGGTGGTAGCGTTGCCGGATCTGGTGCTCGCGGTGGCCGCCGTCGGATTTGTAGTTTATGAAGTCGACCTTCCGGAGGAGTCTATATGTTTGTTAGGTAAGTTATTGCTTCTCAGTACGGGGTTGAGGGTGACAGGGGATGGACCGTACTTTTTCTCGTGGTATTTGAGTTGGCGGACCATTTTGAAGATTATATGCAGGCTTTCGAAAAGAAGGAATGAATTTGGCGATTGCGATTGGAGATGAGAGGCTTGTCGTGGTGAGGATAAAAATTCTATGGATGAAAGGCGGTGTGGGGTTCTGCTGGAGGTTTGGTGCAAAGTGTGCAAACTGCACATGAGATTCTGGATCGGTGGTCGGGTTCGCTATTCCTATTCGGGTATAGTGTTTATTTGCAACAATAGACGTCGAATGCCATTTATCTATCTACAGCATGCCCGCAGAAGCGCACATTTTATGCGCAAGTGTGCTACTCAATCAGGATAACCATGCTAGCTGATCTGGCAATTACCCGGGTTGCCTGGTGGTTACTACATTTCCATCATGTAACCCTGAAGGAAGGTCTTGTATCTAGCAAAAATTTGCGGATCAGCTTATGGGTGTTGACGCCGAAGCCTCAAGGCTGGAACTTTAGAGCTTCATGGACATCGTCGGCCACTTCAAATATTAACAAGAGTATTTATGTTAGCGGTTATTTCTTATATGGTGGACAAATGCACTAATTCCAACACCTTAGGGTCAAGGTTTAGCACGAGGTATACTCAAAGCCGGAGAATCTGAACATAGCAATCCTTCCTCACTAATGACATTTGGCAAACGTCTGCTTATTCACATCAACAAGAGCATAGTGCAAATATGATATATCCAGGCCCAGAATGATCGTTTACACCTGAAGCCAACCAAGATCCGCCCCTCTCTCTGGGGGACAGAGACGTGTCCGCGTCACTGATTGGAGATCTGCAAAAGTTGTCCGCTTAGGAGTTATAAGCGATTCCCTCACAGAGCTCAAAGCTATCCCCGCTACCTGGTTCCGAAATAACGATTTTGCTGTCGTTGTTGTCAATATTGAAGCTTGTCAAGAAATCACCAAACAAAAATTTGGTTTGAACTGTCTCAGAACCACTTTTCTGGATCCTGACCGGCCGCAATTCACCACCGGGACCAATCGTATTAATGACTATCTTGTCGCTGGCGATGAGAGGAATCTTAGGAGACATGACTTTGGCCCCTGTAATAGTGACAACAAACCGAGTTCGCTTGTAGTCAGAAAGCCATGTTCCCTTTTGGTCCTGATACCAGTAGGAGTTCGGATACCCCCGTCGGCGTATGAAGAAACTGTACCCAGACAACCAGTCATCGTCCTTGTTGACAGCAGTCTGCTGAGCGATTACTCTCCACTGATACGTTATGCGGCCGCCCATCCAATAGATTTTGATTTTGCCAATCAAATCATTGAGGACAGTGCCTTCAGCAGTGTTGGCGGAAGCGTTTTTGCCGGAAAGAGCAAAATGCAGCGTCGCTCCAACGTCTCCATCGTCGCAGTTGATTGACCAGAATCTAGAAGACTCCCTGTTGAGTTGGTAGATGTTGATGACCTTTGATTGCGGGTTGCCTAGTTTGATCTGCTGGTTCTCCAACAAAATGCGGAAGAATGTATCGGTAGTGTTTCGATCAGGGGAGATAACGAGCCAGTTATAGTCGTCATCGTTTCCATCACCCGGTCTCTTCAAGCAGAGATAGCTGTAGTAGGCCATGGTGGTGGCTGTATACGGTTGTTTTGCAAAGGTATGTAAAAGTTGGATGAGAATATAAATAGATGAAGTGAAACTATGACAAGAATTCTTGATTGCGAAGAATGACAAGAGCTGCTTCCTAGTCTGACTGACCTGCTGAACCCCAAGCAAAGTTCCTCTTGATGGTTTATATAGCCTTTCCTCTCACTGAATGACTGTGCCTTACTATCAGTCTTGCTGAGGTATAGAGTAAGGTTTGACCAATGCACTCCAGCGACGAAGCACATAAGCTGAAGCACATTTGTTAGCCTTTCGCTTTTACTGTCCACATCCTTGCATTATCCTCGGAGGGTATGATTGAGATCGTGCCAGAAATGTCAGCTGGACGTGGGAAAGAACACCTAAGGTGAACTGGACTCCCTAACCAGCCAGCCACCAGTATCCAGGACACAATCACCAAACTTTTATTGGTGCCAACAATACTATCTAGCCATTTCTGTGTGGTAGGCCTCCTGCACAGAAAAGGCCAGGCCTGACATCTTGTTGTGTAGCTGGGGATGGCTGCTCTTCTCTGCAGCTGAATTAGTAAGGATATTCTCAAAAAGAGACTTGTACTTAGCTATGACGTTCACGGAGCATCAAGGAACAAGGGAGCATGGTGCTGTGGCTTGCATTAGATTTGTGATGAACGAGTTTAACAAGCAGATTTCTAACTACTCTGCTCTCAGCTCTCTACAGCAGCTATGCTCTGTTCTTTGCGCATGGTTGCATTGCACTAAAGTAACCAGGATTATATGCTATTTACGGATACTTCAGCTCATTCAGCAGAACTTTCACTGAGTATTAAGTAATAGAGAAAGCATGGTGCTATAGCCTACATTAGACCTTGTGATGAATGCGCAAAACAAGCAGATTTCTGACCCTTGACGCAATATAAAATCGGAGAAGCTATACTAAAACAGTTTAAATGGACTAGTTCCTCATCTCCCAGGAGAGGATAGTCTCCTCATATCGAACGACGCAAAAGGATCCTTGAAAGGCCAAAAGCTAGCTGATAAGATTCAACCAGCAGCACCTTATTGCGCTATATCCTGACTGCATGTTGTCCTAGTCTTCAGTAGCTCAAGCAATCACACTGCTAGCCTGAATTAACCGAAGGACCCCGTGGGACGAGAGTAAAAGTTAAGCTTTTCGGGACGGATCCTATTTGTGACCATCCAAGGTGCAGGAGCTATAGGATTGCTGATCCAGAGGTCGAATTGCAGATTTTAAATTAATGTCAGTGGGTTGAATCAAGTGGAAATTGAATCGAAAGGCTGGTTAAGACAATAATTAGAAAACACAATGTGGGATATTGTACTATGAAGTCTAACATATTCAGACTTATACCTATCATTGCTGGTCCTGACACGAGGAAGCTGCGTCGTGCGAGATACCTGGGAAACTATGCAAACTGTACAATATCAAGGGTCAAATCTACCGTGGCTGGCTGAGATAGAACAAAGTTGGTGTCATGCATAAATGCCTCAATTCATTTGTAAAACAGGAACATGTCACATGTACGTGCCTATCAAGGATAAATGTTAGCTACCTGAGGTTACATTGCCATCCTTGCAGTCAGGATGATTAACACAGGACCCTGGTTGCCTTACTACCTTGAGATTCTGCCATGACAGCCACAGACAGCGCCAGGAACGACATAATTCGCCAGAATCTCATAGTTGCCTAACAGGCTGAAGACTTAGTCTCCTTCTTTGCGTCTCCAGTGTCGTTCACACTCACAGCGACTTCCCATAGGGCAAGTAAGAGAGCACTTCTATATTTCTAAAAAGGGCAAAGAACAACATCCCCGCGAAGCAAGACCCATATACTAGCGCATGGGGTACTTATAGCAGGAACAAGTGAGTTCATGGCGCAAGATATCTTATACAACCGAATTATAAACTGATGTGTATTCAAGGATGCAATACTTACAAAGACTGCCTATCTGAATGCTCAAGTAAAAACTTTGAAGTGGTCCTGGATCGCTGCAGTAATGGCCTTTGTTTTGCAAACTTTTACTGTGTCTAAGGTCAATGATTATTGGAGTGCAGGCTCCTCACTCCCTAGTGGAGGGAGGAAAGATCCTGTGGCAAACCTGTTGCATCTAGTTAACAGTGGCAACAGTGGTGAAATGTATGCTCAGGCTTGATATAGGTCTTCCCTTTTGTGTAAGATATATCTCCTGGCAAATGCAAAGGCTTTGTCAACCATTAGTTTCATTATAACAACATCAGTTGAAATGTTGGTACAAGTAAGCAAAGAAACCTGTTCAGAAGATAGATTAGCTGGATTGAGTGTTGTGTGGACCAGCAATCCTAACCAGCGATCAAGGCCTGGAATCCTAGATCACTGTCGAGTCTCACCTCTAACCGCTGAACTACTAATCTTGCAGCGGCTCCGATGCCATAGGCCAGGCTGGGCTTTGATTCCGAGGTTGTGGCTCTGGTTCACACACTTCCAGCCCTCAGAAACGAGGCAGTACGCGGCTACCAAGAGGAAGGAGTCGAGCTCATCCCCCGTGCAAAACAGGTGAAATACTTTGCGCAACCGAACGGTGTCGGCGATGAGATGCTCGAGGATCTACGATGGTGGATTGGACTGATAAGGAGGCCGTTTGAGCCCTGCTGCGCCGAGATTATTAGGGCGGAACTGGCGTGGACGATGGTGACCCTGGGGACTGTTTTTTTGGGCCACACAGCATTAAATACTAGCAGTAGGCGCCTTTGATGGATAGTTTTATCTCATTCTTGTCTAGTCTATCAGATGTACAGAAATGAAGACGTATTATAATTCATCTTTGCCCTCTGAAGGCATAGGCCGGCCACTGTCCTTGCCGAGATCGACCCCGTTCTTCTTGCGCCATTTCTCCCAGATGGCCCAGAAATCTTTCTCCATCCCGCTCTCCATCTGGTCCGGCAGGACGACGGTGTACTCGACGTACAGGTTGCCCGGCTCAGAATCGTGGTCGTGGTGCTCGTGCAAATGACCCTCGGAGTAAAAGGGCATGCCCTCGCCCTCGACCGTCTCGACGGAAAGCGGCTGGACAACCTCGCCGCGCTTGCGGCCCAGCTGCACGACATGCCCATCCAGATGCGTAATGTTGCGCGTCCAATCGCCCATCCACGCCTCCCGCAGCGAGAGCACCTCCCTCCAGAACAGGTGCCTGCCCTTGCGCCGGAAGAACGTGCCGTCGTTGCGGCGCTCCTGGTCGGCCGCCAGCTCGGGTTCCTTCTCCTCCAGCACCAGGATCAGATCGCCCGCCACCCAGTCGGGGCTCTCGTCGCCCTCGTTCTCAAACACCAGCCGCGTACCCTTGTCCATGCCCGGCTCCACCGTCGCAACCGTCTCCACCTCGCGCCGCACAACCCGCTGCCCCGCACACACAGGACATGGCTTCTTAATCGTCTTGCCCTGGCCGTGGCACGCGTCGCACGGCATCTGCACCTGCTGGTACATCCCCGGCGCAAGCATGTGCTTCTGGATTATCCTTCCCCGCCCACTGCACTTGGGGCACGTTACCACCTGCCGGTCCGCCGACCCCGTCCCCTCGCAGGCATCGCAGATCTGCTGCTTCTCAATCCCAAACCGGATCTCCCGCCCCTTGTAGAAATCCTGCAGCGGCAGCCCCACCCGCATCTCCATGTCCGGTCCGCGCCTGTGGCCCGGCGCATGCCCGAAGTGTCCGCCGCCGCCGAAAAACCGCGAGAACAGATCAAAGGGGTCGTTCGCAGGGCGTCCTGCCGTCCCGCCCTGCCGGTGCTGCTCGATTCCCTCGTGGCCGTACTGGTCGTAGATTTTCCGCGTGGCAGATGTGGAGAGCACATCGTAGGCGTCTGCGATTTCGACGAATTTCTCACGCGCCGTCTCGTCGCCTCTGTCCGTACAGTTTAGCTTCTCCCCATTCCTTTCTCTCTTGCTGGCGCCTTTGAGTGGTAATAGACTTACGGATTCTTGTCCGGATGGAACTTCTTGCTCAGCGTCCGATATGCGCGCTTGATATCCCGCTCCGAGGCGGAGCGGTCCAGCCCCAGGATCTTATAGTAATCCTCCTTGGCCACCGCCAGGACCAGACAGAGGGCAATCGCAAGCAGAATTATAATTAGACGCATTGTGATGATTGGTGGGCAAGCTGCATCACAGCCGCGCTTACACGTAGCAATTGGTCAACGATGTCTCAATAGTCAATGCCAGGTCGGTGTATCGTGTATTTGTATTTCTGGAGCAGAGGTATAGCTTGTGAAGTAAAGACCAGACTTTGTATGTGATGTTGTGTTGATTGGAGTGGTCCTGGATGCTAGAGGAAGTCTCGAGATCAGCAAAGAACTCAAGATCGAGTTGCTGCTGGCGGTGATTGTTTTGCGATTGCCCTGGACTGATTGCGCGGTGTTTGGCCAGCCGCTGATAAAGTCCGCGTTGATAGAGAGGTCGTAGCTTTTGATTAGGTGGCCGCAACGTGGAGGAAAATGGTTTGTCCGGTCACGTGGCGGGCATTTTTGCCCAGTTATTGAGGTATCCATAGATTGTGAATGTTGACTGTAAGGATAATGTGATCATATCGGATAAATTAACTAGATTAAAAGTATAGAGTGGTAGAGAGGGTGGTTGGACTGTCGTATCAAATGTACAGTGGAACAAAGATAGCACTCATACAACCAGTGACAAAGTCAAATTCAACACTTAAGTACTTCCCCAAGACCGGCCGACAACATCGAAAATCTCATTCCGCCATGTCCGTCCAAGACCCTGGCTCTGATCTCCCTCCTCGATGGCCTCTTGAGCCCGCAATCCCTCCTCCCGCCACACCTTCACAATACTTCCAGGCGCATAGACGTCCTTGAAGACACCGCTGCTTGGGGCTTCAAAGCCGACCCGGGTTTCGACGTCCGTCTCTGGCAGCCTCAACCGGGCCAGTACGGCCCGGACAAAGGTCGCCAGGTCCTGCGGATTGGCAATCCGAGCGGCCCGAAGTCGTTCTCGGGCAAATACCAACTCTCGGTTGAGGGCAAATGCCGCCTGGACAATGGACTCGGCGATCTTCTTCTCCAACACGCGGCGCACCAGATGCTTCAGGAAGGGCTTGGTCAGCCACAGGAGGAATTTCCATTTGCTCTTGTGTATTTTGTAGTCGAGCTTGTGGATTCGAACGCGCACGCCGCGCAGGGTAAAGATCTGCTCCAGGCGTTCCCGCCCCACTTCCACATCGAGCGAGATGTCGATGCCCCGTCTGTCGAGATAGAAGCTGGCAATGCCTTCGTCTTTGATGCGGAACAACGGCCACGCATGAGTGCGGATCCAGTAGCCAAACTCGGATGCACTGATGTTGAGGCCAAAGACCGTCGCAGTAAATGTGGTTTTGAGGTCTGTCGACGTTCTCTTTGAATGCTTCTTCAGAATGTCAATGTCGTTGCGCGTGGTTAGGTGCATACGGTAGGGCAGGAACGATGAGAAATTGACCGTGTGACCGGGCTCAAGGATCAAGTTCTCAATCAACAGATCCATTTCTGGTGCGGATATCTCCAGCCGCGGAATTGGGATATATTGGATACTGCGAACGATAATGGGCAAGAAGATTTCTGCCATGTCTGATGGCAGCTGGCTTTTACGGTCTTGGTAGCCGTTCCATGCATCCCTGTAGATCTTGCGAGTCACGTCAACAAGTTTCGAAACTTGAGTATCCTCAGGTACAGTCCGCAGTGTGCGCTTCGCCTGAGCTAGGAAGGCGTCCACGTCCCGACGCAGGGTAGTTTCGGCGCCGACATTCTTCGACTTCTCCTTCAGCTCGTCTACTTTTTGAGGAGCCTTGTCAAAGAACTTGGGGTCCGTCAGCATTTCCTGGAGCGCGGCTCCAATATCCGACATGAACTTCTCGAACTCTGGGTCTTTGTTGGCATGCTTGATGACATCCTTGAATCTCTGTTCCAACTTCTGCCACTCTTCGGCATCTCCATACGACTGAAGCAGCTTCCAAAACTGCTCCATTGCCTGTTTGAGATCTTCGTTGACATCAACTTCTTCTTCGGCCGTGGAGACGACCTCTGAGGCGGCGTTGGCGTACAGCTGCGCATACCGCTGCACCATCTGTGACAGAGTCGCCACCGAGTCAGAATAATCCGATCGCTCTCGCAGCTTGATGACGGCTTGCTTAAGCCGATGCAGCAGCGTGTCTCGCTCTTGTCCGGCAAGATGCTCCTTGGCACTGTCAATGGCTTCCCGACCAGTGTCTTTCAGCCCATGCCCCGCAACCTCTGCGACTTGGGTGACTTCCTTGCGGAGCTCCTCACCCGATACGGCTCGACCGTCGCCCGCACCCGCGCCTTGAACCGCACCCCGTTCCTCTTCGGACGGCTTGAGCTTTTCTCCGACCTGTTTTGAGGTATCAGACAGAGCGAGAGCCGTGTCGGAGAAGATTTCCCGGCCAACGGTGGTGAGGTCCTCGACAAAGAGACGAAAGTCGGCATTGGTGAGGAGCAGGCTTCCCACGGTGCGGAGACTGGCATATGCTATTCAACGTTATTAGCACAATGCCTTCGAATGAGATTGACAAATGTCATACCTGCTTTGGTGTCCCGCCGAGCTTTGACCTGAGAAGCACGGCGACTAACTTCAGACGTATCTATCGATGCTCTAGACTTGGAGAGATGCCACAAGAATTCCTGCAGCTGGTCATCCCCGTTCTTTTCCCGCAGAAACTCAATGAATATTTCAATCCAGAGGCGGCAGTCCCGGGCTAGCTGGCGGCCGACAGAACCGATGTCTTGGTTGCGAGGGTTGAGAACATCCGAAGCCAGAAGCGTACGTAGATTGGCGATGGTCTGATCGGTGGATGGCATATAACCCTCGGAAAGGGCGCGGAGCATCTGATAGCTATGCAACTTCTGATGCAGACGACGCTGGCGTGAGGTATCATCCTCGTAGCGAGGCAGGAGTGGCTCCGTTTCTCCTCCAGGCATGATGATGGTGGGTGTGGTACTGGGCACCCCGCAGCTCGGTACTTCGTGTAAACTTGGAGCTAGGGATAAGAATCGCCGGAAATGAGTGCCTTGTTGATGCTGAATTGATTAAAAGAACCGTTCCGGGGGCGATTGAGAAAGAAGGATGTTTCAGCAGCTCTACTAGGATGAGACAGGCCAAGGTGGTAAGATGTGCATCATCGCAGCAGCTTTTCCTGATTTGCTGTCAAGCATGGACAGCTACTCTCACTCTTGCGTCACTCCAACCTTGGCGTCTTATCGCAGTCAGGTGATCTTATCACATAATTTACGGACTTGTCATACACAATTGGATGAAACACCTCATGCTGCTTGATATTAACTATCTATTTAACTTCTGCAATATTGAAACAAGAGCGACTGGCGGTCATATCTATCTACAAGTAGTTTATTTCCAACCACAATGCCAAGTGTCAATAATGTGGAGAGTTGGAGCGACGTCCTTATCTAACAGCAATGCTTATCGATAAAGGTATCGTGGGTCTAGAACGATGCGGAGAATCTTTTCTGTGGAGTGTCCTCCGTACCTCTCTACTACTCCCGTACCTACGGCATTTCATCGAACCAAGCCAGATCGAGGTGTACAGGGCCTCGTGCCATGGTATTGATGCGCTTCAGGGGTGACTTCGAATCTCACGCTCAATTATTTGCTTCAACCATGTTCATTAGATGATCCCCAATCCAATCAATGAGAGAAACCAAAGCTAAGGATCAACATGTTCCCACGGTAGCACAGAGAGGATGTCAACAAGGGGCTATAACATAGAATGCTCAATTCCTGACCAGAATCATGGTGTATGAATTACGACGGGAGTATATGGATCAAACAAGAGATGGGTGGAATAATCCTCTACATTTGTATACAATGTAAAAGTCATTGACACCTCAGTAGGCATAACGTGGTCTGGGGGAAAGAGGGTGTCTTGGGTCTCCACACCCAGCCACCGAGACTTTTGACGGCTGAGTCTGGGGTAACCTTCTTCCGTAGCCAGACTGCAGTAGCTTAGAACAGATTGCTCTGTCAATCGTACCTTATTCGCATAGTAGATACACCAGAGCTCAATCCGAGTCTCTCCGAAGTCCGTCTGATGATGACGCACATATCGTTAAAAGTTGTGTTACTGACGGGAGTGTAACTTCAGCCTCGTAGTACGTAACGAGTCAGGTGGCTGGCATCAGTTGTTGGGATTGCAATCTCAACCGTGCTGAGGGGAAACTCAACGGTCTCTGGTGTACGATGTATATATGATCACAATTCCGCACATCTTACGAGTACCTGTAAGGACTTAGTTCTGGCAATAGTCCAATGGCAGATGGAAGAATGATCATCGCCAATGCCGGATGGTCAAGCTTTAAGCTTCATGCCATCGAATCTGGGGATATCCTTGTGGAGCATTTCTCCTCGCATCGGCGCCGGATTTTGAATCGTTGATCTATCATCTTTCTGCAAGGAGTCAATGAGGGATTTTCTGTCATTTAAATCACTCATGGAATGACAGAGGTGTCTCATATCCGTCGTTAACTCAGCATATGCAATTGAGACACATTCAATCCTTTCCAGTGATGAAGCGTTGGCATACAACCATTACATAGAGTACAGAAGTACCACATAGTCCGTGGCTGGTGAGCTCAAGTAAACAAAGCACTGCCACGAGTTTCTAAATCTAGCTCTGTAGCTCTGTATTAGTAATAAGAACCAAGCTTGTTTTTGTCTGTAGCTGAAAGTAATCAGGAACCTTTCCGTTGGAGTCACTCAGGCTGGCCAATAATTTCCTGTAGGACTAGTGGCTTCTTCCGGTGGCCCCATCGGCCGGACCCGGTCGGTGGGCGGCGCTATTCCCCTTGGGGTAATATCTGGTCGTGCCTATCGGAATGGAGTTGGGGTCAGCAATTCTCCTCGATGAAAAAATCGCTCACTGTGGCAGCACTCCTTCATTCTAAGGGTGTCTGAGTAGCACAACCACCGAGTTAATGGCAATTACCGCCATCCTCTCGTGCAGGATCAGAGTCTCTGAGGCTGCACAACTTAACAGGTCATCTTCGTGTTGTTTCTTAAGTATTAAATCCGAGGAATAGAACCATTGGAGAAGTCCGCATTACTAAATCTAGACCTCTCGATGACTAAAGCAAGCGAGCTCGGCCGTCCTCCGTCCCCAGGCCGCGTCGACTGCGGGGAGTTGCCTGTAAGTCCAGAAGCTTTCCTCAGGCAGTTAGGCAGAGAGCTGTGCCATTAGCCTAATAATTGATGCCACATGAGATTTGGGCCCACCAGACCCTGTGGTCGAGTCGGGTCCAGTGGGCAGTTGCCCAACTTAGACTCATGTGTACACTGTAGTTTGAGTACTCGCGCCAGAAAAATGGCGCATCCGTTGCAGAAATGCTCCACTGCCTTGAATATCGGCATGCCATGTCGGATACCGATCTTTCGGATACTTCCTGCATAAGTTACGTATCTAGGAATATCTATGTACTCTAGGTTATGGTAATATCTGAGAGGAATGAATTCGAATCCGAGTTATTATTCTACTGTATTTATATCGTAGCAAAGAGTGATGTTGATAGCTGGTTGTAAAGCCAGACTTTATGCGGAGAAGTCCAGTGGAATCCCCTCATGAAATATTCGCATATGCTCAACTATCTAAGAACGGCATCATTCATAAATCTAAATCTACCAACTGCGTACATCGGAACGAGCGAGAGTATCAGTTGCCTTCGTTCCAACATTTAATTTTCACTACTAATATTAAAAAAGTACTCCGTCAGCCTTGCATGTCAAAAATAGCCAACGTACCCAAGTCTACTTCGTACATTGAGTCATATGTAGCGCTTTACATGTAAACTCTGCATAACAAAAGCAAACTCTGTAATGCGATACATCCCTTCGACGATTCAACATTGCTCATCATGCTCATTCCCATTATTAATCGGCCTCTGTTTGTTTCTTCGCTTTCTCCGCATTTGTCGCAATTCGGAGGCACTTCCCGTTCTCCACTTCCGTTCAATTTTCTGTGACCCCCAACCGATTCAATTCAATTCAACCCAATCCAATCATCCAAAGCTTCGTATCCTCAATTCATGCCCACTTGCGAATTCAATTGAAACGGTTCGCCGCCATGCAAACCGCTTCCCCCCCGAATATCCACCATTGCGATCCCGACCTCCCTGAGTGGTCCCCTCGTCCCCGAATATTCCCGACTGCTCAGTGAAGGAGTCATCGACTAATCACCGCTCGCGCTCTGTTTCATAGTCTTCAAAACCTCCTCGTTGGAGATTTCCTACTAGGTATTTTCCTCCGAGTACTACTACTGCCACCAACGGTGCTTGTGCTTGACTTCGGAATGTTTTGGGTGCCTCCTCAGGGGTCTCCAATGCTAGTGCGGACACATAAAAACAGACTGGCACCTGTGGCCATCTTGTCTCAATCTTCTTCATTTTTGTTTCCATCCTCTCCTCTCCGCTCTTCTGCCTCCGTCGTCGCCATTGCCACTCGCCATAGAAGCAGTATTACGTCGTCTCAGCGTTCCACAATGGCTCGATTTCCCTCCCATCAGAACCGGCCGGTCCATGCGACCCCGACCCCATACGTGAATCATGCTGCTCCCGTGTAAGTCTCTCCGTCTGTACAAGCTATCTGGAAGGAAGTGATGCCAATTGACTCATTGTTGTTTGTATAGTGACCCAAATTTCGATACTGCCAACCCTGCATACATTCGCAAATATCTCCGCACCTACGGTCTGACACCCCCGCGCGCGGAGTCATACGAAGTCCAGAAGACGCGGTGTATGTCCACACAACACAAACTACCTGACGTCTGCTGGCGGGATCTAATCTGAACATAGGTCTCGCTCAGTTGGCCCTCAAGCAGACTGTGATAGATAAATTCCTCTACCTTAGCACCATCCGCAAAAACAATGTCCACCTCTTTTACCGTTTGATGACAGATCATCTCAAGGTATGAGAAACAGAAACCATTTGCAGCAGCCGATTGGAAGACTAACGTTGACAGGAATTGACACCTTTGATTTACACACCTGTTGTTGGAGAAGCATGCCAAAAATGGTCGGAAATCTACCAGCAGCCAGAAGGTGAGTCCAGACCTTTTTGCAATTTTTCCGGCTAATGCATCGAATCCACGCTAACGACGTTTCATCTGCCTAGGCATGTATCTGAGCTGGGAGGACCGCGGCAATCTGGCCGCTGTCATCGCCAACTGGCCGCAGCCGAACGTCGAAATCACGTGCATCACCGATGGGTCCCGAATTCTCGGACTGGGAGATCTTGGCATCAACGGAATGGGCATTCCGATTGGTAAGCTGGCGCTGTACACTGCATGTGCGGGGATCCGTCCCGAGGCCACCCTGCCCTTGACCTTGGATCTGGGGACAAGCAACAAGGCTCTCCGGGAAGATCCGCTGTACATGGGTACTCGCCGTGACAAGATCTCTCCCGAGGAGGAACGGGAATTCATGGATGAATTGATGGCGGCTTTGACCGAGCGTTGGCCTGGGTATGTGGCTCCACCTTTCCAACTCTTTCCGATGACACCGGACGCTAACGGAGGTAAACAGTATTGTCATTCAGTTTGAGGACTTCAAGAATCCCTTCCCCGCTTTGGAGCGGTATCGTGATGTCTACACGTGCTTCAACGATGACATCCAGGGTACGGGTGCTGTCATCCTTGGTGGGGTCATCAACGCCGTGAAGCGTTCGGGACTTCCCTGCAAGGAGCACCGCGCCGTCTTCCTTGGTGCTGGAAGTGCTGGTGTCGGAGTGGCCAAGCAGATTGTTGCATTCTTCATGCGCGAGGGCATGACGGAAGATGAGGCCCGCTCCTGCTTCTACCTGGTCGACACCAAGGGCCTCGTCACTGCTGATCGGGGTGATAAGCTGGCAGATCACAAGGTCTACTTTGCTCGTACGGACAACAACGGCCAGCAGTTCAAGACCCTCGACGAGGTGGTCGAGCATGTGAAGCCGACCATCCTTATGGGTCTGTCGACCCTCGGCGGCGTCTTCACCCCGGCGATCCTGCGCAAGATGGCCGACTGGAACACTCACCCCATCATCTTCCCCCTGTCAAATCCTTCCTCCAAGTCAGAATGTGACTATGAAAGTGCCATCACCCACACCGATGGCCGTGCCCTCTTCGCCTCCGGTTCCCCCTTCCAACCTTTCTCCTTCAAGAACTCCTCCGGAGAGACCCGCACCTACTACCCGGGCCAGGGCAACAATATGTATGTCTTCCCCGGTATCGGTCTGGGAACTATCCTCTCCAAGGCGGTCAAGGTGACCGACGAGATGATCTACGCCTCCGGTGCAGCTCTCTCACAAGCTCTGACCGCCGAGGAGATCGACCTCGGTCTCCTATACCCCGACTTGACCCGCATCCGTCAAGTCAGCATCGTCGTGGCCCGCAAGGTCATCCGCGCCGCACAGGAAGCCGGCGTGGACCGCGAAACTTCTCTGCGCACGATGGACGACGAGAACCTCGATGCATGGATCAAGGCTCGCATGTACGACCCTCACAGCGAAGTCCACGCTTTGGAGAGGGAAGTCGGCGCTCTTCTCTCGAATCTCGGGCCTGCTTCTCCTGTCTTGAATGGCTATTATGAGGAAGGCAAAGATGCTAAGCTGTAGTTTTATTTTTTTTTTTTTTGTCAGCCGGCATGGAGCCATTAGCCCATGTCTCCGCTTGACTTTTTCGGTTCTACTTTTTCGTTCTTCCTGTTTTCAGTTACGTGCCTGGTCGTTTCAGGTTGTGGAGCGCTTTGGTTTTTTTGGCTTCGACTCTTGCATTGAAGGATGCCCCAGTGTTCCTCTATACCCTTTGCATCTCGCTGATAATGACTTGCTTTTGAACCATGTTTGTTGGGTTTGGGATTAGTTTCGGTACCGACGTTTATGTCAAAAATTGATAAGTCCAATAATTTATGTCGGTCTCCTATTCTACTGTTCTGGAACTGATTGGAAGAATACAGTTTCATAAGAAACGTCTAATTCTTAACCTCAGTAGAGTGGATCATGTGAAGTGGAGACACGGAGAGATTTATAGCCCGAAGGGACGGACTAGGATTAATGATCATCACTAATCCATCCATCGCGATGATCCGCGTGGTGATTTGTCTTGGAACAAAGCAGGATTATTAACCTTAAGAACAAAGATGTGGTGCCAAGGCCCGGTACTGTGCTACTAGTTTACTCAGGAGTTCGCAACTTTTGTCTGGTTGGGAATAGACTCGTCTCGACCTCGGCCGTGCTTCTATCCGCTGCCGAGCGGTTGAGCCGTTCATCCGTTCATCTAATCTCCAGAGAAATTACCGGTATATAGTAAAATAAATGCTTCAGTTTCCATTGTCTCATCTGCGAGAAATCGTTTCTCGATCTGATACGAACCAATCACTATGTCTTCGTCTCTTGGTGATGCTGTCAAGCTTCCATGCGGGCTGGTCTTCCCCAACCGCCTCGTCAAGGTAAGTTCTTGAGGATAAGGTCATGAACATGGCTGACCAGTCCAGGCTGCTATGGCCGAGCTGATGGCCGGCTCAGAACATACCCCTACGCCAAAACTACTGGAAGTCTACAACCAATGGGGCAAGGGAGGATGGGGTGCCGTTCTCACGGGTATTTAGCTATTGATATCCTTTTACTTCACCAAGACACACGCTAAGCACTCAATCCTCCTGGGCAGGCAACGTCCAAGTCGACGTCAACCACCTGGGCAGTCCCTTTGACCCCGCCCTGCCAGCCGAGTACACAGGCAAAGAGTCCAACCCCGCGCTTGTCCAGACATGGGCCAAATACGCAGAGGCCACACAGCAGCACGGTGTTCCCTCCATCGTGCAGATCTGCCATCCGGGCCGGCAGTCGTTCCGCATCGCAGGCAAACGCGGTATCTTCGCGTCGACGATTGCGCCGAGTGCGATCCGCCTGCAGATGGGGGACGGGCTGCTGGACCGGATCATCAGCTGGCTGGCGTTCCCTGCGCCGAGGGAGATGACGCAGCAGGACATCGATACTGTGACGAGGCAGTTTGTCGATACCGCGCGGCTGATGGCGGACGCGGGATTTTCGGGGATCGAGCTGCATGGCGCACATGGGTATCTGATTGGTATGTTCTGCCTTTCCCCCCGGGTTTCTGAGGCGCTGTACTGATTGTAGCAGACCAGTTCCTGAATCCAAAGGTATGCTTGCTCCTCTAGAGTCCGGGTCAGGATCCAACTAACCGGACAGACGAACCTACGAACCGATGCCTACGGCGGCTCCGCCGAGAAGCGAGCCAAGTTCGTCCTCGACATCCTCGCGCAAACACGCAAAGTTGTCCCCGCAACCTTCTGCATCGGCATCAAGTTCAACTCTGCAGACCACTCCTCCGCCTCCTTCGAAGACACCATGACCCAGATCGGCCTGCTCGTCGACGCAGGCATCGACTTCCTTGAAGTAAGCGGCGGAACATACGAGGATCCCCGGGTACGTGATACATCCCACTCACTCCGCCGGAGACATCGCACTAATGAAAAGAATAGATGATCGGTACAGACTCCCAACCCCAGCCCGAAAAAAGCCAGCGCACCCTCGCACGCGAAGCCTTCTTCCTCGAATTCGCCCGCGAAACCCGCAAGCGCTTCCCGTCCCTCGTCCTCATGCTTACGGGCGGATTCCGCAGCCGCGCCGGCGCAGAGCACGCCCTGCGGGAGAACGCGTGCGATCTGATCGGCATCGGCCGGCCCGCGGCCGTGGAACCGGCTTTCGCGGGCCGGCTGCTGGACGAGAGTGTGCCTGGGGAGGAAGCCGAGATGCAATTAAACAAGGTTAAGCCGCCGTTTTTGCTGAATTTGCTGCCGATTAAGGCGGTTGGGGCGGGGTTAGAGACTGTAAGACCTTTTCTTCCTCTGTCTGGGTGCTCCCATGCTAATGTTGTTCGCTGTAGTCGTACTATGCGGGTCAGATCAAGCGGATAGGTCATGGGCTGAAGACGTTTGCGCCGTCGTTGTGATGTGATGTAGATATATATGTATACCCAAACTGCTTTGCTGGTTCTTGTTCTTACTAGATATTATCATAGAATATTAGGTAGTACTTGTGTCAGTCAATGCTACCTACTTTCTTCCATTTATTCCATCGTGGGGGAGTCCGGCTGGTTGGTTGCATGTTTAATGTCAATAAAGTAACCACAACCATAATATCATTCAATCCATGGCTCTGTAGTAATGCACGTTCTCACTTACGTCCAACTACCGGTTTACGCCTAACTCCAGGAGTTTGGTAAGACCTATGTACCTAAAGCTAATTGGGAGTGTGCAAACGTATCGATGACGTCGATCTTAAACAGGGCGCCATGCCAGCAGCAGATAACCTCAGCCTGTTTTGGCGATGCGACCCGGCAAGATGTTTGGATCAATCGTTACGTTATTGTGTGCTTTTTTTTTTTATTTTATTTTTTTTATTTGTATATATAAGTCGGGTTTGCCGTCAACATGAGCAGTATATCTTTCTCTGTGTTGCAACTCTAGAATACGCAACAAAGTACCTCTCTATAGATCGTATTAGGCAAAATGACGGGTAAAAAGCACAGGGTTACAGTGGTCGGCTCGGGAAATTGGTATAGTCCATCTACTTCGTAATCTTATTTTTTAGATTATTGCAGTGTCTGATGATGACAGGGGATCGACGATCGCCAAAATCCTCGCCGAAAACACGCGCGAGCATCCCGATGCCTTCGAAGAAGAGGTGCAGATGTGGGTGTTCGAGGAGGACGTGACCATCCCTGAAGACTCGCCGCATCGCGAGGCCCTCGGCGACCAGACGCACAAGTTGACTGATGTTATCAACCGCGTCCACGAGAACGTCAAGTACCTCCCCGGGATCGCGCTGCCGAGCAACGTCGTCGCCAACCCGGACGTGCGCTCTGCCGTCAAGGACGCCACGATCCTGGTCTTCAACCTCCCGCACCAGTTCATCGACAAGACGCTCGAGCAGATGAAGGGCCACCACCTGCCGTACGCGCGCGCCGTCTCGTGCGTCAAGGGCGTCGAGGTGGCAAACGGGCGGGTCACGCTCTTCTCGGAGCTCATCATGGAGAAGCTGGGCATCTACTGTGGGTCGTTGTCCGGCGCCAACATCGCCCCGGAGGTCGCCGCCGAGGAGTTCTGCGAGACCACCATCGGCTACGACCCGCCGCCCATGGACCTCGACGCGAAGCAGGAGTTCTCCCCAGATAACCGCCATGTCGTCAACAAGCAGCGTCAGCGCAAGATCTCCTCCACCTCCGCGGAGCTGCAGCGCGTGCCGGACGACTACCCCTGCGTCGACGAGAAGTTGCTCCACCGCCTCTTCGAGCGCCCCTACTTCCATGTGCATGTCGTTGCCGACGTGGCGGGTGTGGCGCTATGCGGCGCGCTGAAGAACATTGTCGCATTGGCGGCCGGCTTCGTCGCGGGCAAGGGATGGGGCGAGAATTCTAAGGCAGCCATCATCCGGATCGGGATGATGGAGATGATCCGCTTCGGGCGCTTCTGGTTTCCCGACTCCGTGGACCAGAAGACCTTTACCGAGGAGAGCGCGGGCGTCGCGGATCTGGTCGCCTCGTGCTCGGCCGGACGCAATTTCCGGTCCGCGAAGCATTCCGTTGAGAAGGGGGTGAGCGTCGACGAGATTGAACAGTCGGAGCTGAACGGGCAGAAGTTGCAGGGGACGTCGACTGCTCGTGCCGTGTGCGATTTTCTGTCGACGCATGGCAAGCTGGACGACTTTCCGCTGTTCAATGCGGTCAATCGTAAGTTCCATACCATAGCATACCGGATGATAAAGTCAGTGCTGACCAAGATAGGCATCCTCGATGGTAAAGTCAGTGTGGATGAGCTGCCAAAGTTGTTAAAGTAATCTGGAAATGTATATACCGTAATGACCATAGATAATAGACCCTATCTTCATGAGTGCACCACGCCCGCAGTTATGGCTGTAGGAATGACCCCTATGTAGGGCAATGTAATCATTCATGGTGATTGCAGTAGGCGCTGAGCTGGTGGAAAGGGCTTTGAGTTTCATAGAAAGCTCTTGCAAACCCAGAGTCGGTCACATATCACTGGGTTCTTTACCACAAGAAGGCTAAAGAGGGTCAAATGGAGCGATAGTATCACCTCCCCAGAAGTTCCCTGACAGCCCCTCCAGAGTTTCAAAGTCTGGCATCCAAAATGGACAATCCTCCTCAAGATCGATCCACGGAGCAAGCTGGAATGCCATCCGCACACCATGATCGTGAGCAGGCGGATTCGTCGGCCCCTCTGTGTTGGGATCACTTGCCGGGTGCTCCTTGAACGTGCCAGGCGTGATACTTTGGGGGTTGGAATTCGCACCACCATGCTGCGCGGTCATCAGTTCCGCCATGCCGACCTTCTTGCCCGCCTCGCTGTTGCCCTCGAGTTTCTCCATGGCGGCGTTGACGAGCATCTCGAACGCGTCGCGGTACTTCTTCACCCACGCCGCTCGTTCGCCCATGACGAAGAGGACGGTCGAGCAAGCACGGATGTCGTTGCTCATCTGTACGGACCAAACCTGGTCCGTGTGTGTCCACAGGGCGTACAACAGAGTGATGCCGGCCATGAAGACCGTCTGGACGGCGAGGAAGGAATGCCCGTACT